GGGCGGGACCTGGAAGAGGTCGGGAGCTCTGACAGTTTTCTCTGCTTCGTGAAAGCCGGGAACAAGCTCTTAGGTGATCCTTTGGTTTCAGATGCCAGCGGCCAGGTAGACATGGTTTGCTCACATTTTTGCTTATCCTGAGAAATAACAGATGTGAAATTCATGAGACACCATTAGTGGGAATCCTTTGACTTCTCATCTCCAAATATTTCATAGCACACACAGAAAAAAATGAATAAATAGCTCTACCACCAACTAAAGTAGTGCCTACAGTTACTAGTCATTGTGGTCTCTTGGCAAAATCTAATGGGAAAGAACATGTTCAGCTTAAGTAGAAAGAAAAGGTTTTGGAAATGTTGATGGCAACACATGGATAAGTGTGCTTAATACAAATGAATGAAGGATTGTTTTAAGATTTGTAGGAAGCCCCCAATGAAATGATTAAGGAAACAAATTCATTGTAAAATTCTTTGTGTAAAAGGGGAACCACTTCACAATATCATTATCACTCCTGTGATAGGTTGTGTGAAAGTAATTAAAATACAGCTTAAATGTTTATCAGTCTTGTTAGTTTGCAATTTTTAAAAATTTTCAGTGTGCGTAGCATGAGAGTATATACTAGACGTGATATTATTTTAGTTTCCAGAGTAGGAATAACTTTTTAAAAAGTTTTATTGGCACTTAATCCATCAATGACTTCTTATGTCATTATTTTCCTAACAGTATCCCACTTTTCCCTAAACAGAGTGGCATTTTTGCATGCATCGCGGTATGTGTTTCTTTGGCTTGGAAAGAATTTAAATACAATAGCAGCTCATTTAATTAAAGGGCATATCTTTTCCTAATCAGAACACAACCTAGAACCAAGAAAAAAGCAAACAAACCCAGCAGCCCATGGGACGGCTGGCTGTTGGTCTTCATTTGTCATGAGCCATACCACTATCATGATTTTTGCCTTTTAGAGTACCATCTGTAGGGTTACTTTACTTCTAATAGACTCCTTTTTAAGCATTACTGTATTCCCATCTGGTAGTCTTGAAATCATGATTTTGGTATCTTTTATACCATTTTTCTTTCTTTTTTTTAATCATTCTACATTTTATTGGGGGCTCCTACAGCTCTTATCACAATCCAGCCATCCATCCATTGTGTCAAGGACATTTGTACATTTGCTGCCATCATCGTCTAAATATTTTCTTTCTACTTGAACCCTTGGTATCAGCTCCTCATTTTTTCCCCCTCTCCCTGACCTTTGCTAATTTATGAATTGTTATTTTTTCATGTCTTACACTGACCAATGTCTCCCTTCACCCACTTTTCTGTTGTCCGTCCCCCAGGGTTCTATGTAGATCATTGTGATTGGTTCCCCTTTATACCATTTTTCTAGTACACTTTATTAAAAGATACAACTGTTAAAATAAAGTTTACTTATTTAACACTAAAATCGTATGTTTTTGCTCTTCACTTTGGAAAACTACCTCAGTGTATGCTTTTTAGGATTAGTCCACTCATATTGAAAAATTCGTAGGAAGTCATGTGTACGTGTGTATAGACATATATACGTATGCATATACATATTGTATAACCAACAATTTCCAATTTGTTTTTTCATCATCCTTAACAGATGCTCAGTACCCCTTAAGCAATAACTTCCCATATCCTCCCTCCCACCTACTTCTGGTAATCACTAATAAACTTTGGTCTTTCTGTATTTGTGTATTTTAGATATATATTTTCTTTTTTTTCCAAACCATTTTATTAGCTAATCCAAACATCATACCATTCCATAGTTCAATCACATCAAGCAGTGTTGTACAATTGCTACCAAAATGAGTTTCAGCATTTTCTTCCTTCCTTCTTTATTTATATTTTAATTTTTTAAAATTTTCTTCCTTCGTGAACTCCTTTAGTATTGGCTCCCCTTGAATCTCCCTCCTCCCTATATTGTAGCTATTTCATATACATGGGATCATACAATAGTTGTTCTTTTGTATCATACATATTTCACTTCGCATAACATGATCAAGGTTTGTCCATGTCACAGTACGTATCAGAATTTCATTTCTCTTTATGGTTGAATATTTCATTGTATGGATACATCACATTTTATTTTCCATTCCTGTATTGGTAGATACCTGGGTTGTTTCATGTTTTATTGTGAGTAATGCTGCAATGGACATTGGTTTATGAGTTCGAGTTCTTTCAGTCTTTTGGGTATATACATAGGAATAGAGTGCCTGAGCCATATGGCAATTTTTTGTTTACTTTTCTCCCCTAACAGATTTATTGGCATATAATTCACATAGCATACAATTCAGTAGGTCAGGCCCATCCAAGAAGAGTTGTACAGTCATCACCACAGTCAGATTTAGGACATTTGCTTCCGTCCTTTACTCATCGTTAGCTTGTTTGCATTTTTGAGGAACTGCCAGCTATTTTTCATGGCAGCAGTGGATTCGGGTTTTCGTTTCTGTTCATGCTAGCCAACAGTTGTGACTTTCTGTTTTTCTGACATTGCCTATCCTTTGGTTGTGAGTTGCTGGAGTTGCCTCTGACTCATGATGACCTTTATGTTTAACAGAATGAAATAGGTCACCTCCATGATTGTTGATATGTTTGAGTCTCTTGTTATTGTGTTGTGCCTTCCAACCAAGGGTGGGGGGGAATGTCTCATTTTTCAGCATTATATTGGAAAAGTACTCTGTTGTGATTATATTTTCATTGACTAATTTTTGGAAGTAGCCTGTCAGGCCTTTCTTCCTAGTCTGTCTTAATCTGGAAGCTCTTCTAAAAACCTTCCCACCATTGGTGACCAACCCTACTGGTATTCGAAATACCAATTGATTATCTTCTAGCATCATAACAAGACACAAGACACTGCAGTAGCAAAACTGACAGATGAAGTGTTGATAGCCATCCTCATGCAGTTGAAGTGGTTAATCTGTTCAGTTTTAAAATAAACTAAGTTTGGACCACTTGAATTCCTTACCACTTGAATTCCAATGGCTTAAAAATGATCCCTGTGAAGGCATTTAACTTGTGAAACAATTCTAGAAATGTACTTATCTCTTTTCACCAGATAACAGACTAAAATAGCAAAAGAGAAAAAGAGGATGTTTGCTCTTTGACATTTTTGTGAAATCAGCTGTTTTTCTTCTTGGAATTAATCCTTTGGTTCCTGTGACTCAGACATCCTGGAAACCTGTTTTTTTTTAAAAGCTGTGCTTGTATTCTGCATTATGTATATGTTAGCATTTGTAGTCTCTTATGCTTGTATCCAAGAATGCTGAATATTAATTCCAGTTCCAAGCTTTATTTCCAGGCCTGAATGCTGACGGAGTAGCAGATCTGAGGGTATAAAATGATGTGGCAATGGCAGCTGACCTCTCTAAGGTCACAGGGAGAAGGGTAGTTGAGATCATCAGCCTAAGGCTGTTTCCTTTGAGGCAGACATACTTCCTCTTCAACCTTTTACCAACTCTGACACCATGTGAGGGACCTCACATGACATTCTCTAGTTTTTTAGATCATTTGTTGCAGTGGTCACATAGAAATTATAGACAGGACTCATGATTGTGGACTTTGTTAGGGAAGTTATAGGTTACAATTCAGGATTTGCTAAGACTCAGGGTACAGTCTCTTTATCAGTCATGTCTCTTTGGCCCTCCAGCCTGGCCTCTGCCTTGCTCAGGCAGCTGTTCCAAAGCTCTTTAGCTCTGCCAGCACGTGCCCGGAAGCACTCCACTCTGCCAGTAAGCCTGGACCCCAAGGTGCTCAGCTCTCTAGTTCTGTGGGTTGGCCGACTCCTCGAGTTGGCAAGCCTAGCTTTGCTGGAAAGGGTCTGGAGGGTCTGGAGTCAACACTCTGCCATCAAGCCCCCTGCCCAGCAGCATTCGGTTTCTTCTCTGTGCCATCTCCCACCAGTCTCCTGGTTCTGCTGCCTCTGTTGCTGTTGTTTTGCCATCACTTCTCACCGCCTCTGGTTAGAACTCCTCTCCATTTCCTTGGTCCAGGCAGTTCCCAGCACAGGGAGGGGGCCCAGGTCCATAGGATATGCTCCACTCCCATCTCTCTTTCTTGATGGTGGTGGTATTTGTACTGCCCAGCTCTGGGATGCACTATTTTAAAATAATGTATTATTGGCAGATAATAATTGGATGTATTTTTTGGCAAAACTATCCAATCCCTTCATTAGGGTTCCATATACTTTATTTGCATAGTTCTGCTCCCACAAGGATACCATGTACCTTACTTACTTTATTAGCAAACTGTCCAATCCCTTTGGTGGGCCATAAATACATCATTTGCTTAGGGTTCCCCCTAACACCCTCCCCCGAATCATTTGGTGGGAGTTACAAAGAGTATGGCTTCTCCTGTATACTCT